CCCACCCCACAGGGCAGGGGGAGGGGAAGGGGAGCTCCGGCCATGGCAGTCCACAGACTGCACTTTGAGAAGCAATGAGATAGTGTGTCCCCATCAAGGGAGACTTCTCCATGGTGCTGCAGGCCCTTGTGGATCACAACATCCATATGGGATGGTCAGGAAAGGCACAAGACAACCACATCTTCTGAAAGGCGCAGGCCGGCACTTTCTTCCCTGGTCTCACTGTCAGTCAGGGAAGTGGACGTGCCCATAGCGATCCTGGGTGATGTGGCCTATCCCTTGCTCCCTGGCTCACAAAGCCCTGCACAGGCAGCCTGGACCCACCGCAGAGCACTTCAGTGCCAGGCTGAGCAGGTGCTGCATGGTCATCGACTGTGCATTTGGCCATTTAAAGGGGAGGTTCAGGAGTCTCCTCACCTGCCTGAACCTAGGTGAGCGCAACATCCCCTTTGTGGTGGTGGCCTGCTGTGTGCTCCACAACCTGTGTGAGAGCAAGGGGGAGACTTTTCTGCTGAGGTGGGAGGAGGGCTGAGGCTGGATGTCTGGCCAGGGAATTTGAGCAGCTGGATATCAGTGGGGGCGGTTGGGGGGTGAGGGGTTAGAGTGGATCTCAAATGCAGTAAGTTGATACTGTGATGGAGTCACAAAGACAGGCGACTTCAGCCACGTCTTTTCTACTGCTTGTGTTGACAAAAATTATGTTGCTTGGGGGTGTGGAAAAAACTCTCACCGAATGGATGTGAATTTCACCCGCACTAGTGGTCATGTGTACAGGGCTGTCAGCAGGAGAACTCCTCCCACCATCATACCTACTGTGGCGTGTGGAGCCGGGTCTGTGATGTTGGTGGCAGAGCTCTCTGCTGTCAGCACAGAGTGGCTACACAAGCGCTTTTACAGTGAGGCAGCAACATTGGTACAGCTGGACCATTTGAGCTCACTAATACAGACAGAGCCTGAAAGGAGCTATGACAGAGCTTGGCACAAAACCAATAGGCAGGATTTCTTCATGCAGCGCACAGTCAACCTGTGGAACTCCTTGCCAGAGGATATTGTGAAAACCAGGACTTTAGCATGGTTCAAGAAATAACGATAAATTCATGGAGGATGGTTATTAGCCAGGAGGGGTAGGAATGGTGTCCTGAGCCTCTGTTTGTCAGGGGCTGGGAATGAGAGACAGAAGAGGGATCACATGATGATTCCCTGTTCTGTTCAGTCCCTCTAGGGCACCTGGCATTGGCCACTGTGGGCACACAGGACACTAGGCTAGATGGACCTTTAGCCTGACCCAGTTTGGCCGTTCTTATGCTTTTAATCGTGAGTGGTGTGGGAAAGATGAATAGCCACATGTTATTTGCCTTCCTCACAATACAACATCCAGAAGTCAACTGATTAAATAAATAGGCAGCGGGTTGTATACAAACCAATGGAGACATTTTTCACACATGAGCCTGTGGCACTGTCATTGCGGTGAAGGCCAAAAGTGTAGCTGGATGCAAAAAAGACACGGCTGAGTCCCTGGAGGGCAGGCCCATGGGTGGCAATGAGCCAAGGTGGGCAGGGCTGTGAGCTTTACTCAGTGTCTGAAATCTGACAAAGTGGGTCTGCCCCACAAGAGCTCATCACCTAATAAACTATCTTGTTAGTCTTTAAAGTGCTACATAATTTTTCCTTTTGTTTTACCAAGATCAGACTAACAGGGCGACCTCTCTATTACTGTTAATCTTTTCCTGTTATGAATGGGTGCAGTGAAACGGAAGAAGTTCCAAGCAGTGGAGATCAGTAGCCCAGTGTCTCCCTAATGGACTGAACTGTGGGTCACAGCCTCGGCGTCGGCTGTGCCTTTCCCCCCCTCGTGCCCTACAACTGAGGTCACACTCCCCACTCACCCTCCAGTTTCTCCTTGCCCACCAACTTCCAGGCCTCAGAGCAGCATCCCGCAGCCCAGCCGCCGAGGGGCTAAAACGACCCACCAAGGGCAGGAGAGAGACTCCACCAGCTGCCCTGTGAAGACTGTCACTGAGGGGGGGACCCCACACATTTTGGGGGGTGCTATTTTAAGGAACACTGTCATTGGGCGAGCTAATCACTTAGGGAAGCCCCGGCAGCTGCCCCTCTCCTTGCTAACCCGCGCTGGGCCTCCCTTCCAGGAGCTCGTGATCTGAGTGGGTAGAGCCGGGCAAAGCAGCTGGGTGCAGCGCGTGGGGGTGAAATGCAACAGACGCGGCCTCTCGGGGGCAGGTTAATTACGCCCAGGGCGGGGGAGGGGGGGGGAACCCCCTGCGCTGGGCCCAGGATGTCTGCACGCGTGGGAGGGGTGAGCTAAGGGCACTGTCCATATGGCGCGCTTTATGCTAATCTGGTCAGTGTCATCACAAATGTCCCGCCCTCTCGGGAAAGTTCATTCAATGGAACAGCCGATGCAGGCAGGAGCTTGACGCTTTGTCCAATCGAACTGAACTATGCTACTGAAGGACACGCCCCCGGCTTTTTCGCGCGTTTTCTTGCCCTAGCTATGGAAGGAGAAGTGCCTGTGCGTGGAGCGCGCGGGCTTCCCCTTCAGCTGCTACGCCCAGAGCGGGGGATGGAGCCGGGACCTGATCTGCCCGGGCTGCTGCAGCCGCGGTGTCCCTGGAGGAGGTGAGCTGCGATCTTCCCGCGCCGCAGTGCCCTGGGCAACTGACCCCCCTTCCCCCAGCAATGGGGGCGCTGGGGCTGGGGCGGAGAGGGGGGTTATTCTAAAGATCCCAGTGTTACAGCTACAGCCCTGTTGTTATTTTGACAGCCCCCAAGGGCAGGCTTTGGGGGCATCTCACAGCGCGTGTGACGAGCTCAGCTCCGATTTGTCCTACAGCAGCAGTTGGATCTTGGATCCAGTTTTTGCACCATTTTTACACCGATTTTTTTTGCATTTACCCAAATCTGAGGTTATTCTAAAGATCCCAGTGTTACAGCTCATCCCTGTTGTTTTTTTTGACAGCCCCCAAGGGCAGGCTTGGGGGAGGGGCGGGGGGCGAGGAGCCGCTCACAGCGCCTGTGAACGAGCTTAACTCCAATTTGTCTACAGCAGCGGTTGGATCTTGGATCCAGTTTTTGCACCATTTTTAAACCGATTTTTTTGCATTTACCCAAATCTGAGGCATCAGGATAAAAGCCATTTGTTAGAACCCAGTGGGGTTAGGGTGAGAATGGGAGGGACGGGGGAGTGGGGGTGAATGGGCAGAGCTCAGTCGGGGGAGGGTGGGACTTTATCAAGGGCTGGCTTTTAAAAAAGGTGTTTAGGAGCTAGCCTGACCCTACTTGCCACCACAGCAGCTGGGGTGGGCGTTGAGTTCATGGTCAAGGCCCCTGCTGAGGATTTTGTGGCAACTGTCACATCACAAAATGCTTTGGCTTGGGCCAGGGCCTTTTACCAAGATGTCCCTTCAGCACAAGTGTCCTGATTTGCTTTAACAGGGCCCAATTCTGCCAAAACTTCCTTCCAGGAGAGGGCCCACAGAGCCTCAAATCAAATACAGGCAGTCCCCAAGTTATGCGAATCCGACTTACATTGGATCCGCAGTTACGAACGGGGATTTTCTCGCCCCGGAGGACGGGAGCGGCGGGATGCCCAGATGAGCCACGGTCCCACCCCGGGGCGAGAAAAGCTGCTCCCCGTCTCCCTGGTCTGCTGGGGGAGCCAGCAGACCAGGGAGACGGGGAGCAAAGC